GCATTAAAGGGTGAGGAATCGATGCATGCACGTCTGACACAAATTAGGAAGACTAATATGGTGAATAATCCTAGAAGTGTCATTATCTTGTATCTCTAGGATAAAGTTTTAAGGGAAGTCAACAAGGAGAAGACTACGACTTTAATGCAGAAAAATTGAATAATATACGACCAAGTCTTAAGTTCAATATAGTTTTTAAAAAAACAACTCTACCCATTCAAAATGGTAGAGAACAAATCTATAATGGAGTAATTGATAACATTTTACAAGTTTGATGATGATCTAGAGAATATCGAGGTGAAAATTGATGATGAGGACGCAAATTACTTTTGTTAAGCTCCATTAACCATATCTTTTGAGCACTTCAATGATGCCCTTGTTTATGGTAAGGAAAGTGCTATTACTCTTGATGAAGTCCAGACGACTATGAGATCTAAAGAATTTTCAAGGGTGAAGGATTTGAAGATTGACGATAATGATGAAGATTTGAAGATTAATTTGGAGAATATCGATAATCATGTTTGACGATCTAGGTTATTGCAGTTGATTTGAACACGGGGTATTGAAGATTTCACATGGTGGAATGATCGTAGCTAAAATGGTCTAAAATATATGAATTATATATTTTAGATGGTTTCAATGTTATAGATCATTCATCAATAGGTAGTGAAGACTTTCATGACAAGAATAAGCTTTGGAATTTGAGGTCAACGCACGATAGATGCTTAAAGGTTGTCTTAGGTAACTTTAATGAGTTTTGCATGAGATAAGAGATAAAAACATATGATTGTTTCTGACTTGTTACTAGTAGATGAGTTACTATAAAATTTCTAGGATAAGGCTGGTGCAAAAACAACTTACTTATCCACAAATATCCATTCGCAAGAATAGACTTTTAGATATCTAAAGAGATTTTAGCGTAGAAAACATTTTAACTACTCTTATTTGAAAGGTCGTCGAAATTATACCGAATGCGTATATCAAATTATGCCAACTTAATAGTAAAATTGTAAAGTGTGTCTTCAAGAACTATCCAAAACGATGAGTTGTGCAAAAATAAAATTTATAAGATTAAAAATCCATCATAAATAAATATATTATTTTTAGTGAGTTATGTAAAAAGAGAAAGAGCAAATGAAAATATTAAAAACTATCATCCGAAACAATCACTTGTTTTGTTTTTTTACAAATATGAGAGTCGTTTGTTACCGATTATAAAAAGTGGTTCTGCTAAGTTATTTACAAATGAATTTTAGATTTTTTTTTTAAAAATTATTGAAAGAGTATAAATTATTGTGTTTGTTTACCAAAACAATTTTCTTTTAAAAATATCTTAAAGAAAATAAATCTTAAATTATTTTAAATTATTTTCATATTTTATTTTTTATAAAAATCTCCAAAACATTCCAAAATAATTATTGATTAACAAACTAATTTTTATATTTTATATTTTCATTAAAGAAAAGATATATTTTTTATTTATCCTTTTTTACCAAAAATGGCATACACTAAAAAAAACATATGGTGCTAAGTTTCCAAACCAAACTGGTGAAGCTCAAAGGCTTGAAAGGTCAAACTCAGAGTGAGTGAAAGATTGTAACAAAAAGTTTCAATTTCACACTCTCATTCTCACTCTCACTCTACAAATAGAGAGAGAAAGAAACAACCCTTCTTTCACCAAACTCGCCGATCCGAAAGGTTCAATCTTACCCTTTTCAATTTTCCTTTTTTTTCCTCTTTCAATTGAAATATGATATGGGGTTGTGTTTTTCTTGTTAAAGTTTCGATTTCTTGAATTATGGGTTTAATTTTTTAGGAAATTTTTTGTTTTAGTGATTTTTTTTGGTAATGTGTATGTGGAAGTCACAAATGTGCAGAGTTTTTTGTGATTGAAATTGTGGGGTTGGAGTGGAATTGAGTTTGATGAAAACTTTGGATTAGAGTTTGTTGGTTTTTCAGGTTTTACAGAAGAATTAGCTCAATGTCTTGGGCTGCCCCTGATGAGCTCTTACTCTCCACCTCTCTTGCTACATACCTAGACAGTAATCTCTCTCTCTCTCTCTCTCTCTCTCTCTCTCTCTCTCTCTGATGTTTTATATGATTTTTTTGTTCATGTGCATGCAGATCTTTTCTGAAAAGAGTTACTTGTCCTGAATTTTTATGTTTTTGTTTCTTCTTGTTGTGCTTATTAGATTGTTTCTTTATGTTGATTGTACATGAATTGTTGATTGCCCTTATAGTCAGGGCTGTCTTAAGTTTTCGGAGGTCCTGTGTTACAGTTTAGTTGTGGCAAAACAAATAGAAGCCCTATTTTGCCACGGTTTAACGTTGATAAAAATTTTATGAGGCCTTATTTAGTCATGGTTTAATCATCTTGAATTTTGGATCCTGTGCGGTAGCCCATCTTGCACGTCCTCTAAGACGGCCCTGGATATAGTTCTTGTTAGATGGATGAGAACGAGCATTCATGATTCTAATTTTTCATTTTGCAGAAAAACTTCTTGTTCTGTTGCGAGATGGTCGAAAACTTTTGGGATTATTACGGTCGTTTGATCAATTTGGTAACTACTGATTCTATTTGCATTCTTCTTTGTGAAGTCTCTATTATTTAATGTTAAATGACAATTTGATGCAATGGCATTTACAGCTAATGTTGTTCTAGAAGGTGCGTGTGAACGGGTAATTGTCGGAGATCTTTATTGTGATGTCCCTTTAGGACTTTATGTAATTCGTGGGGAGAATGTTGTCTTAATTGGAGAGCTGGTATGATGTGTTCTTGATTGTTTTCTATCATTTGACTTTGATTACGTGGTTCTCAGAGGAATCTTGATTATTTTGTAACCTTTATTGTTGATTTAGGACTTAGGAAAGGAAGAGCTTCCACCACATATGACATGTGTGTCAGAGACTGACATAAGAAAGGTTCGTCCATGAATTTTTATTTATAAACAATTGATATTCATTTCTCAATTTTACCATAAAAACTATTATAATTATGAGCGCCTGAGGACCAAATCATTATCTCTCTTGATGCGTCTTGCAGCAATGTTTTAGAAACTTGATTAGTCATTTTTAGGGATTTGATTTCCATGCCGTAAATGCAGTATTGTCAATGCTTTGTAATATTGCGTCCCGGTGACATATAGGAAGCGTTCTAAATGACATAATTGCTTCCACTTTGGCTCATTTTGGAAAATACTGTCCGTTCTGTTTTGTTTATTCTTCTAGCAAGCATTGTCAAGTGAACTTGTGGTTTTTTATATGCCAGTTTCTGTCTTTGGTAGCACTATAGAGTTTTCTCTCTACCTTTTGGTAAAGTGTATCAACCATTTCTTTCGAATCTGTCAGCTACACTTTCTTGTGGTCTTCATTCGTCATAGTATGGCCATTAACATGATTTGGTGAGAACCCGATTTTCCTTATTCCAACTTGTTCTCTGTTCTCCAAAGGATTCTCAGCAGTGTTATCAAATTGCGGCGCCATGGCCGCTATGGCGGATATACGTGACAGTTTTTGGGCTCGCCGCAATGGTAATATCGGCCGATATTGTGGGTTTGTCCGCCATAATCCGATATAGCGGCACCGCCTAAGCTTGTGCAAGTGATGAACAATGGATAGATGACAAGTTAAAGTGACCAACCCAAAGTTATGATACAATGAGGGTCCGTAGTATTTTTGTTTTTGTAGTTTACAATGGATGTGAACTATTACCTATCTAGCCATATATGTAGTTTCTAGGTTTGCGAGCAACCTTGCAAACTGCAAACTTTTCCTTGTGTGGTATAGAGTTATCGAATATCCGCCATGGCGACTATCAATAATGTTTTATGGACTGACCGCAATGGTAAATATTAGCTGATATTCCTGGTTTTTCCGCCATAATCAGCTATGATGGCGCCACAAAGCAGCTAGTATGGCGGGATTTTGGCTCTCCGCCATGGACCACCATCCGCCCTCAATAACTCTGGTGTGGTACATATGTAATGGTATGTAGGATTTTCCACGACAAATTGGATTTATGGAAATCATGGTTGTCGGAATCTTGAGATTACTCATACAATCTTGTTTACAAAACAATTTCTATGTAAACTTGAGTTTGTGACCACATATCACAGAATATCACGAGTTAGAGGAAGATTGACCCATCCTTCAAAATTGATTATAAAAAGATTTATATTCTGGTAGCCTTATTTTCATTTATGTTCTAAATTGATTATGGACCAAATTTTATTTCATTTTCTATGCGTTTCAGGCTCAAAAAGCAGAACGCGATGCTAGTGATCTAAAGGGCACCATGAGGAAACGGATGGAATTCCTCGATTTTGACTAAAACTTCCTACCGCCTTCAAGCTGATGGTCCTATCTGCAAATTTTAATGCAGCTGTGACTCAAGTTTGATAACAACGGGTGGAAGAAAAAGTAATATGGTTGATGTGCATTTATCTTCTTTAGAAACTAGCGCGACATGAGACCGAATACTTCACAGCTAATAGTTTTTTTTTTTTTTTGGTTTCTTTTTGTAATTGAGATCAATCAGCAATCATCATTGATCCATGCCCTATAACTTGCATTTGGATTGTGTTAATGCATTTTGAAAACATGTTGTATGTTTCTAGATAATCAGACATATTAGTGAATATGATTTCTTGTTTGTGCTCAGTTACCTTTATTTTTATTCTGCTCATTTTCAATGTTTTTTTTCTTCTCATTGCTCTACATAAATAAGAGTACAATTACAAACAGAACCAATCTCTTGTATTTGATATACATAACAGTTTTGTCAAAAATAAATAAGTATATAATATCTAAAGGAAAAAAACTAGAAAGGAAAAAAAAAAAAAATCCTAAAATAGTCTTTACAAACTTAAGAAATGCTATCCTACAATGTTTTTTATCGCTCAAATTTTATAAGGGCCAATATAATATTTCCATTTTCTCTGTAATTCTCACCTACAAATGTTTTTTTTTTTAAAACTACGCTGTCTTTATATACTTAATATTTAGAGTTGTATGTCCTCTATCCTTCTAATAGCTTCTTTCATGTGTACTCTTTGTTCTGGGTTACTTTCGGTACAAGCAGCACCAATTAAGAGAAGTTGGAGCATATTATTCATCGAATTTGATGCATTCTTTTGTAACTCAGGATCAATCAATTCAGTTTCTCTTCTATCAGAAATCGCTGTGAGAACCCATTGAACAACATCAGTCCCACCTTTACCATTAGTATGATATTGAGAAGGGAATTTTCCCGTTACGAGTTCAAGAAGGATGATTCCAAGGCAATAAACATCGGCTTTCTGCGTAAGCTTCTGGTTTTGAACGTAATCTGGTGTTTTGTATGCAAACATTGATTGCACTGCAATGCTCGGGTTGATCAGTGGTTGAAAAGCATAGTCACTTAACAGAGGCTCATACTCATCGTTTATTAGAACATTGCTTGATTTCAGGTTTCCATGAGGCAAATCATACGTGCAAAACTCGTTGTATAGGAAGCTTAAACCTCTCGCGATTCCTTTAGCAATCTTTAATCGGATAGGCCAAGTTAACTCCGCATGAGACGATCCTCTATCACCTGAAAAAGTTACATAATGACATAAACAAAATGCTTATACTATAAACTCTTGCGACTGCAACTGCAATTTAAAACCAGAACTTGACTTAAGTTTTATCGATGAACTAGTAAAACATGCATACCGTGCAAGACATATAACAAGCTTCCTTTAGGCATGTACTCGGTAACAAAAAGCTTTTCTTCTCTCCTATAATGATAAGCCAAAGGAGTCAAAATATTAGCATGTCGAATCCTCCCAAACTGTCTCATCTCAGCATCAAACACGTCTTTACCGATTTTATTCATCTCCCTCATCCTCTTCACAACGACACTCATCCCGTTCGCCATCGCAGCTTTATAAGCCGATCCCAATCCGCCATTCCCCAATACCTCAGCAGCAGCTTTCATCAAATCCTGTAAACCAAATGAACCCTTCTCATCATTCACCATCACAAGATCACCTAGCCCATTTCTAGTCCCACCCCCCATTCCTCCTCTTTTCGCCGATTCTCCCACGTTCCTTCTCCCGACTCTCTCGGATGCAGACGAAGATCTATTTATCGGCACGTGCACTTGCATGACTTCTTCGACGCTGGAGTCTCGGACGCTGAAATCATCGTCCCGTTTTCGTTGTCGAGACTTGACTAACATAAATATAACCGCTGCTATAACTGCCACTATCAGAATCATTATCAGTTTCAACGGCAAATCAGATCCAGAATCATTTTCTGTTACGTTATCTGGTAGAGAATACTCGGAGGAAGATGAAGCGACACATTGTTTTTCCAACGGTTTTCCACACAGACCACCGTTTCCAGAAAACGAAGCTGCACTGAATTTGGACAGGCCTTCTGGAATAGGACCTTCTAACTTGTTATTCGAAACGTCGAATGATTTGATATCTTGTCTGAGGTTCGGTAACTGACCGGAGAACTGGTTTCCTTCGAGGTGAAGCTCTTTGAGAAGGTCGAGTTCGGTTAAAGAAACCGGAATGTCGCCGGAGAATTTGTTATTGGAGAACCATATTTTCTTCAAGGATGATAAATGAGAGAAAAAGTCCGGTGGAATAGGCCCGGAGAAATTGTTTTGCGTGAGGAGAAGAGACTTGACGGTGCCGAGTTTGTGGAACTGCGGGATTGGACCTGAGAAAGAGTTGTTGACGAAGCTGAGTGTTCTTAGGCCGCGAATCTCGGAGATAGCGTCGACGTCTATTGTCCCAGAGAGGCCGAGGTCAGAGAGATGGAGGCCGGTGATCACATTGTTGAAGCAGATGACGCCAATCCATGTGCCGGAACATGGAGAGACGTTTGGGATCCATGAGGCTAAGTTTTTGTCGGAGTTATTGAGAGATAGTTTTAGTTTGAGGAGGGATTGAGTTTCTGAGGGTGGTGGTGGTGCGGTGGATAGAGAAAGTAAGGAGAGAGAGAAGAGGAGGAGGAGGTGGTGGTTGGCAGCAGCGGCCATTTGTTGTATTGCCAGCTGCCGGGTGATATTATAGGAGACAGTTGTTGGTCGGAGAGGTTAAGGTTGTTTCTGTTATTTTGATGTTTTTGCTGTTTTTGGTTTTGGGGGGTGGCGTAAGAGAACGGGTGGTGTGTCATGTTGGTGTGTTTTGTTTATGTTTTTGTGTTTTTTGGGATGTTGGTAATGTGGAGAGAGAGGTGATGATGGTGTTTTGCCACAAATTGAAGTTGGATTCTAAGAATAGAGGTTGCATGGAAATAGTACGATAATTTTGGAGTTGAAGTAGGTTTAAGGGTTTTGTTGAGTTGACCAAGTCATATGTATTTGAGACATGTTTCTAATTTTGGCATCATCAATCAAATGTATGTCAGGGATGTTTCAATATTATGAACTTTTGTGACACACTGGTAACTTTAGCTTTAGTTAAGTCGCAAATTTAGTTTTAAATCTTATTTAATAGTAAATTTACTTTGAAATATGAGTATGGAGATAGTGTAATTATGAAAAATTATGAAACTCTTATATTTTAGATAGACTTGCACATCTTTAAAGACGATCTTGAGAGGAATATGCTTGACAAACATGTTTATGGGCTGTTTGCAAGACCCAAAAGCACCATCAAACGATAAAGCGTATCGAATTCCTCATTCATCTAAGATCAGACAATTTTGTATCATAAATATTTCGACCACCGTCTGATTAGATCCAATGACTACCCACACAATGCGCCTCATATCACGCGAATGGTTTTAGCTGCTCTCACTATATAAGAAAAATCCATCCGTCTATCATTGTAGGTCAGTCTTCTCTCATCGTATCAGAAAGTTACTCAACCGTACTAAAACCTCATTCTATCGTACCAAACTTTCCAAATTATAGATTACAAGGAAAACATAAAACAATACAAAAAACAATACTACTTTCACTTTGTTTAAAAGAATGTAAATCCCGTATCAATAATAAGACTCAGATTATGAAACACATTACATGTAAATAACAGTAGAATATTTCTAGGCCAATATTGTGCAAGTTCATTCTGATTCTTCTCAAATCATAGCACTACCTTGAAGTGAAAGCCTGCACATATGAAATTTTTTGCCTTAGTATATATAACGTTTAATATATTATTTATTTGCACATTTATAGTCAATGTGAGACTAATCTATAAATGAAACATAGTTAAACATATTAGAAATGAAGCGAAGAGTATTAATTACCGAGAAAATGTTGCAGTGACCGGGATCAGCAAGATGAGCCATCAAATTCTGAATAGGACTATCTCCAACATAAACAGCTTGAAAACAAAACCCAACAAAAGCAAGCATAGCAAGTCTTCCATTCTTAATCTCTTTAGTCCTCAAAACCATAACAGGCTCAGGTGACCCTCTTCCCCACTGCATAGGATCGAACCAAAGTCCACCTGGATAACCAACATCTGGTTTTGGGTTAGGCCTATTTGGAAACTTGGGCTCGATATCAACGCTTCCTGGGTTGACGATATCGGCCCATCTTCTACCTTCAACCCAGCCCATTAAGGCTAGCTGAACAATGAATAGTGTTATTGGGTCTGCGAAATAGTGTACTGAACCTGCATTGTACCATGAGAAGTTTTTTACGTAGCCCATTCCTTCGAGTATCTCGGGGATTAGGATTCCTGATACTCCTAACATTGCCCATCTTCCATGTACTAGTTCTGCTTGTGCAAACCATTTTAATAACTCTGGATCAGAGCCTGAGAGAATCAAGTTCACATGTTAGTAATTACTTGCTGGTGAAGAATCAATAATTAATAAGCAGAGACACGAACACCATATGACATGGATACAGTCACGGACACAGATGATACCAAATGACATAGACACACACAGGTACAAATGACATCAGATGACATAAACACAAACACAGATAAAAATGACACAAATTACAATAGATGACGTAAACACAGACACAAATGACACCATATGACATAGACACAGACACATACTCAAATAACACCAGATGACACCAAATGACATAGACACTACACGAACACACATGACATAGACACAAACACAAACACAAATGACACCAAATAACATAGACACAAACACAAATGACACCAGATGACATAGATACAAATGACATAAACACTAACACTCGTGAGAATTTGAATAAATAAAAATGACTAAATATAATCAAATGGATCGATGCGTGGTGTCCAGTCATATAGACGCACCTTTAATTTAAAATGTTGGTGCTATATAAGCCGATATATATTAAAGTGTAACATTTTTATGTGTTTGGTATAAGTAAGACATACCTAATCCAAGAGGGTCAAAACCAAAATCACCAGGAAGACTGCCATCAAGCCATTCAGGAGGTGAACTACCAGGAAACCACAATGGCCTATCTGGAGGAAGTGGTACACACAAATCGGAAACACCTTTTTTCGCATTTCTAATCGTAAGTGTTCTTCTTCTACTTAACCATGAACTTGTTGTAGTTCCTTGATATAAAACCTTTTGACATATTTCTCTGCATCCAAATACAAAAATAACTATATAGTATAATGAAAATAAGTTAATTTAAATGGTTGAAACAAAAGAGTTGAACCTGTTTGGAAAACTTGATAATGAAGTGGATGAAATGGCTAAAGCCATGACTCAGACGAAGCTGAAACTTTTAGATGGAATGGAAGAAATGTTTTATCACTTTATCTGTTATATATGGATGATGGATAACTTTTGTAATATTGTGTGTGTGTGTGGAACAAATATTAATGAAGGGCCAATAGTATTTGAATTTCACACGTGGCTTTGATGTGGGAGCTTCAAGAGAATTTAATTTGACACCTCTCATTTTAAATCTGGCAACCCACCATATTTGTTTATTTCCAATATGTCCTTGTGACTATTTTTATCTTTAAATTTTAACGTTTGTTAAATTTTTTTACTATTAGTCAAAGGGTGAAAATTAAATTTTTGATGAGATTACAAAATTTTCGGTACCGATTTTTGTTCGTTAATCGAAAATTCTTTGTATTTTCAAAATTTTCAGTTGCGGTTAATCGGAAATTCCAAATTTTCTAATTGGGATATATCGGAATTTTCATCTTTCCGGGACGATTTTGCAAAAAAAAATTATATAAATCATAAATTTCCAAAATTTCCGGTAGCCAGCATAATACCGGAATTTAGATATTTCCAAAATATCAAAATTTTGAAATTTTCGGAATACCAAAAATTTCGGCAACAATTGAAATTTCTGGTATGTGTGCAGATAAAATTTTGCAGTTGTGTGGTCCTGATCTGGCAGCTTCTGCTTCTTCTACGGATTCATGTACAGATTTCACACCGTTCTTCACCACACATACCGTATGTTTCCTATTGAATTTACACATTCTTAATTGTTTTCCAAAATTAATGAAATTGATAAAGTTTACTAACACCACTTTATGTTGTAATTGACAAATTTTAAATCTCGGTCTGAAGTTTTAGAATGGACACAGTCTATTGGTAAAAAGCATGGTATCGTTGTTGTTACAGTTTGTTCTGATTCTGCTAATGGAGTCTGAGGGAGAAAGGATAAATTGATTATGGGTTGTGAGAGAGGAGAAAATTACAAAAGAAAAAATGAATCCGAGAACACCTTTGATGACATCTATACTATGAATGTTAAATTTCCTTTTAGGCTGAGATCAATTCTAAGTGGTATCAGTTGGAAGGTGGTGGTTAGACGTGGGATGCATAATCATAGACTAGATAAGGACATGGACGACCATGACATATTAGAACGTCTAAAAGATCATGAAAGAAAGTTTGTGAATGACGTGACGAAGTATAATATGGCACCAATGTGAAGGGTGTAACACCCTATTTCCCCGTCGGTAGTTTATATAATAATTAGAGTAATTTAATTTCTAAATAAACATCAATCAAATAGGATGTCACATACTTCACCAATCACACATGCTCAAAATAAGAATACGTAGCACAAATCGTGTATTCAAAAGTCTTAAACTTCAATGCATTTATTCGCATCGGAAAAACATCAAATAATTAATCATCTCCATCCTCCAACCGGAGTTATAATTATTATCCTTCACACATCAGCATAATCATAAAACAATTCAAATAAAAGAGTAATACATGCTCACTCTTAATCATAACAAAACAAATCACGCGAAACCCCAAAGTGTTACGTATCAGAGAAGACACTGACTCAATCTACGCAACTGATGGAACTCCTCAACTAACCTTTAATCTCTATCTACTTTGAATCATCTGCACGTTATCCACGTGGAAGTAACATTCAAACCGAAAGAGTGAGATATCATAATAATATAAGAGAAAGCATAATAATAATAAGCATGTAAGATTCAAGCACATAATCAACACGTAACATACATCGTAATATAATACACACTTTCATCAATTTTCACCCATCGGTTTATCAATCACAATATGATGCAAGGACTGACACTAATGCAATGCATGTGGTACCAGTCAAGGTAGAACCCTCTTTGCAATAATGCCAATTTAGGAAAATCAACTTCGCTCGTTAATACAAGCCTTTGCTCGCCAATACAGGTCTTCGCTTTATGAATGCATGAGACAATATCATGCAACAACATACTTCACATTTATCATTCTTACTCGTAACAATTTCGCCAATTATAGGCCATCGTCGTCATCATCATCATATATATCATGTCACACAATCAAAACAATCATCACAAATAACCACAACATAATTCATGGCATACAAATCAAAACACTCTTACAAATTTGTATCAATGTTGATGAAATAATTAACTACTTCATTATAAATCATTTTTATAAGATAAGTAATTATTTTATCTTTCCAACAGTTCAAACAGCGTGTCAGACGGACACCCGAGGCAAAAGTTACGAGTTTTAGAAGTTTCCTAAAAAATGCTGTCAGTAGCAGTGGTAATCGGTTACCCAGTTATGGGAACCGGTTACCGCAGAACAATAATCTTGTTTTTTTTCAAAATTCATTACGGTAACTGATTACCCACTTATGGGAACCGGTTACTGCAGGACAGTAGCTAAACCTCGTTCCAACTATTGATATGGTAACCGATTACCATATTCGGTTAACCGGTTATCCTGTGATAACAACGACAAATTCTGCAACTTTCAGGTTACGACATCCCATGTTTCCACACCCAAAAATCATAACTTTTACATCAAAATTTATCTTTTTAACAGGTTAATTATTCACCAACATTCATCTACCAATTCTAACCAATTCATATCATTTAATCACATCACAACACACCAAAATCGCCAAAATTCCATCAACGGGAACAAATCCCAAAAACAACCAAATATGGAGAAATCAAAACATACGATTATACGACCTAAATTCTACCATACCCCATCATTAGGAAAACCCTTATAGAGTTAGAACCCCCCATTACCTTAGATTATTACAGTTCTTAATTCCTATGGATGAAATTTCTTGCCCTAGCCTCCTAATGCTCTTTCTCTTCTTCTCTCTTCTACACTTCTCTTTCTCTGTTTCTACGTACTGACTCTTTTTCCTTATTCTTACTCTAATATATCCCAATAATATAACTAACCCAATAAATGATTATTTAATTATTATTATAAAATAATAATAATTATCATGATAATATAATAATAGTAATAATCCATATTATTCTACACACCCCTATGTTTCTACACAATTAGCCAAACACTCCCCATAATCTCAATTTCTATAATTCTAAGGCATCTAGTCCCCAACAAGGTATCACACCACATCGTAAATTCTACCAACTCATATAATTTAACCGCATCGTCTTATTATTTAATTAAAATAAATTTTAATTAAATCATGGTGTTACAACTCTCCCCCACTTAGAATATTTTTGTCCTAAAAAATTATCTGAAGCAAATAACTTTGGATAAGCCTCCCGCATCTTGCTCTCTAGATCCCACGTTGCATTCTCTCCGGTAGCTCCTCCCCATATTACTTTCACAAGGGTGATCTCTTTGCCTCTTAACTTTTTTATTTCGCGATCCTCGATCCTCGCAGGTATAGTCTCAACAATAAGATTATCCCGTACTTGTATATCATCTATTGGAATTACATACGACAGATCTGAAATATATTTTCGGAGTTGCGACACATGGAACACATCATGCAAATTTGAAAGATTAGGTGGCAAGACCACTCTATACGCAACAGTCCCCGCCTTTTCTGAAATTTGATACGGACCAATAAACCGCAAAGTCAACTTCTTTGACTTTAGAGCACGACCTACACCGGTTATTGGTGATACTCTCAAGAATACATGGTCTCTCTCTTGAAATTCAAGATCCCTATTCCTCTTATCATGGTAACTCTTCTTCCTACTCTATGAAGCTTTCATCCTTTTTTTGGATTACCTTTACCTTCTCCGTAGTCTCTCTCACCATCTCGGGTCCGAGCACCACATGCTCACCCGATTCATACCAACACAAATGTGTTATGTACCTCCGACCATACAGTGCTTAAAAGGTGTCATACCAATACTAGTATGGTAACTATTGTTATAGGTGAACTCAATCAAAGGAAGACAACTATCCCAGGTACCTCCCTGCTCAAGAACACAAGCCCTCAACAAATCTTCTAACAACTGAATAGTCCTTTCTGTCTGACCATCTGTCTGGATGATATGCCGAACTCAATTTCAGCTTCGCCTCCAAAGCATCCTACAAACTCTTCCAAAAAGCAGAGGTAAACCTCAGATCTCTATCTGACACAATGCTAGAAGGAACACCGTGTAGCTTCACAATTACCTGAATATAAATCTCCGCCAACTTCAATACATGAAAATTGATACTAGTTGGAATGAAATGAGTTGATGTCGTTAATCTATCAACAAATTCTATAGATATACTATCCCATTTACATTCCGGAACGTCTAAAGGTTCCAACAGCCCTGGAGGTTTTTGATGTTCGACTTTCGATTTCTGATAAGTCAAACACGCATTCATAAACTGTACCACATCTCGCTTCAACACGGACCACCAAAATAAATTCTTCAAGTCGTGAAACATCTTGGTAGCTCCCGGTTGAATATGCAAATTGATTTTATGGCCCTCTTGCATTATCATCTTCCTCATATCAGAATCATCAGGGATACAAATACGGTTTCAGAATCGCAACACACCTTGGGCATCTAGTTTAAAGTCACTGTCTTCAGATTTGTTACTCTCGACCATCAAATCTACCAACTTCACATCTAACTTTTGAGCTTCTTTAATATTGTCTAAGAAGTCATTGTTAATCTTCAACATCCCTAACATTACACTCTACGGTATCAGTTCACAGACCAAACTCATGTCTATGAATTATTCGATCAACTCTAGTTCTCTAACCATCATAGCAGACATATGCAAAGTCTTTCGACTCAAGGAGCCAGCTACAACATTAGCTTTACCTGGATGATAATTCAAGCCAAATTCGTAATCCTTAAATAATTCCAACCATATCCCCTGTCTCATGTTCAATTCCTTCTGATCAAATAGATACCGCAAGCTCTTATGATCGCTAAACACTTCAAATCTGGAACCATAGAGATAATGTCTCCAAATATTTAGCACAAACACTAGTGCATCTAATTCTAGATCATGGGTAGGATAAT